GAAGGGAAGGGAAGGGAAGGGAAGGGAAGGGAAGGGAAGGGAAGGGAAGGGAAGGGAAGGGAAGGGAAGGGAAGGGAAGGGAAGAATTCATGTTCTCACTCTCCATTTTCAGGTTGAGGAAAGCCACTTTTTCAGGCTTCCCCAGGGTTCATTTCTTATGTTTTCAGCTTATTTTGATGCACAGACTGAGGAGATCATCTCTAGTAACACAGAGTTTGCTGAATGTTTTGCATTTTAGACTCTAGACAGATAAGAAGCCACCAAACAAGTTCTTGCAGTACGGATTCAACACCTCAAGTGTCTTCCTCAGGGTTGCTGGCACTGATGTTTGTATGCAGTGAATTACAAAATTTACATCCCAGGAGGGAGCAGTGTGAGCTCCCCTGTGGGAGTGTGATGTGAATGTCTGGAATGAGGCAGTTTTAGGAATGAGATGCTGCTCAGGGATGGGAGCTGGGACACCAACAAACAGACAGACTTGGAGCAAAGCAGATCTTTCTACACTGCCACAACCACGCCAACCCATACAAACTTGAACAACAATAAATCACAGAGTTTCCACTACCTGGGGGAAATTATAACTGCAACTGTACAGTCAAGGATTTTATTGCCTAATATTTTAACAGGTTATCCTGGAGAGCACATTTTAAATGCAGCCTCTCCCTTGGAGAAAAAAATTAATAAATTACATTGCTAGCCCTCTCAAATCATATAAAAGGTTTGACCAAGGAGAAACAATATGAAATACCCAGCTAAAAATACCCCTTTATTGCAAAACTTATTTATTCACTATATCTCTTTACTGCTGTCACTACTTTTTTTCTTTATTTGCAGTTTCTAGGATGGAGAAAATAGCATATCCAGCTGGGGCAAAACTTTACAAACATCAAAAGAATTTATAGCAACAGAACACAACCACAAAGAGCAACTTGCATCCATACAGTAGCCTGGTTTTGAGAATTTCTCTAGTTCTGATAAAATATTTAACTCACAGCTGCCCTAACAGAGATAGAGCAAGTAAAGTACTACAACATGTGCCATGAGCAAGACCTAGCAATACAGTATAAATTCATAACAAAAAAATAACATGGCAATTGTAGATATCATGTTCTTTCTATACAAACTCTCACACAGCCACACTTAAGCACTATTTGGTTTCTAGCTAGTGTTTCCCCTCAAAATGTAAATACTACCAAAAAATTGCTCATGCCTGTAGTTCTTCAGGGAGAGAAGACAGGATGATGGACAGAGAGTGCTGAGGTGTGTTAAACAAATGAGCAGAGTAAGAAAGTCTGCAAGGCTACTACCTATGGAACCAGCTAGATCCACCATCAATAATCTGTACTGTGTGGGAGGGAGAACTATGCTAGTCATAATTTAAACTTTGGCAACTTTTCCTTACTCAAACATTAAGAAGAATTAAGACACCAGACAAAAAAGTACTGCTTTGAGAGAATATCCAGTGGCTGCACTTGCTGGTGACTCCTCCCTCCTTTCTGTTACTAAACTAAGAGGAAAGTCTGCTGCTGCTTAATAAGATTTTTCATTTCTTCTTCAGGAAAATATTATGAACCATCACTAAATTCTGTAACAGTGGAGAAAAGATACTATTGAAACAAATACAGAAACTGGAAAAGAAACATGCGTTCCAAAAGTCAGATTTTAAAGTGAGAGGGCTTAAAGCTGTGCACAGCACTGGATCATCACCACTGAATGAACAGTCCCACCTACAACGGAAAAAAATGCAGCAGCCAAATCTTTGCAATTTAGCTACAAACAGCATGAGTATGACTATAAAAATATAGCCTGGAATGTGGGAATTTCACTAAGGGGCTCTTGGTTCTGCCCAAAAAAAAAGCAGTAAGTTTTTGCTCAAAAGCTGTACACTGAGTCCTTATGTACACCAACACTGCAAACAGGCAGTGCTGGGGGCCTGAGACAAAATCCAGCTCACTTAGGAAAGCTATTCATCCTTTTGCTTTAGCATACCTTAGAGATATGGCCCATGACAAGAAAGATTTATTAGTGTTTTTAAGACACTGGAAGAGGCCTGTCACCCTGCCTGCAGATCTGCACAGGCTGGTCACAGAGTGCTTCTGCAAAGAAGCTTCAGCACTTTCCTTCAGCAGAGTTAAACCAGGCTCAGATGAAAGGCACCAGAAAGCAGAGTTGGCTTTGCGCTTCCAAAATTCACACCAGACCTCACCAGTTAGGGCAAATCTTTGCTCCATGCCTTCCTCTCTCTTTCCACCAAGTCCTTCTTGGCAGCAAGCTCCTCACTTAGGGTGTGCAACCCACATTAACAATTCCTCAGGCAGAAAAGTGTTTTACATGCACAGGGATGAATTAACACCTTTCCCACATCAACACTGGCACTGAAACACTCCTGGCCACGCTGCCTTTGTAGGCTCAGTGAGGGCCATGGGTAGGGTGAGGTATTACAGGAGGAATCAATAATGTTTCTCTGCTGTGGGGGCTGCTTTGATCAGCACTTGAAGGATGTATGTTTAGTAACAGAACAATTTCAAGCTGCAAGAGGATGAAGTCTGGAAAAGCAGCTTCTGTCTTATGGGCCCTCCTGAAATTTGCTGCTGGAAATGTCCTGGAGCTCAAGGAATCAGCTCATTGCAGCAGGAACAGACCTGAGCCTTGCAGAGCCAGCACAGCATCTCCCCTGGCATCCTGCCTGCCTAGAACTGAGGTGGATCAGCCTCATCAGAAAAAGCAGCAGCATCTGACCCCAGGCTGACCTGGAGCACGGTGATGGGAACATGTTTGCAGAGATGAGAGAGGGGCTCAAATTCCCTCAGGTCTTGGACCTACATCTCCCACATCTGCCCTCTCTTTGTGTCCCTATCACCAACATCCTCTTCTCTTTCTCTTTGTTTTCAGAAACAAAAACCTTTTCTTTTGGGCTGAAATGAAGGGGAAAAAAAGCCCTAAAAACCTTCAGAGGTGCTCTCTGCCATATCACTGGAAGGCATTGTACTTGTATTCACTAGCTGTAAATGCTCTGCAGATTCATCCTCTTTAATTTCTCTGTCTTTTAAGTGCACAGTATCCACCAGGTTCAAAAGAACAGGCATTGCTGGAGTGTGGCTGAGAACAAAATCTGGTGTGAAGAAGAGTATTTTGAGCCATCTATCAACAAGACATTTTCCGTCTCCATTCCCCATAAAACTCTCTCAAGTTTGACACCCCTAGGTCCATTAATCCACCAGCAGCATGTCCCAGAATTGATTTATGGCCATTCACATGGGTCAGACCACAACCTGGGTCTCCATAAAAAGGATCAGGCTCTGGAAAATGACTTCTCACTTGCAGCATGGCCAGCAAGGGCTGAGTATTGGGGAACAGCCCACAGGATGAAATACTTGCTGGGATAGTTAGATCTCATGGAACTTTTCTGCAGAACCATGTAAGCCATGAACTTGGCCTCTGTGACTGTTATTGGTGTCCCCAAAGCCTAAATCTTTGCTCTCTGCTTGTCCCTCTATTTCCGTCAACAGTGTCTATCCCTCCATATGAGGAGCAGCTGCTCCCTGAGCTGGGAACACCATCACCACTCAATGCCCATTTCCCGGGTATCACTGCTGTGTGATACATGGCCAGAGTGACAAAAAGTAAAAGGAAACATCCTAAGGAATGTTCTTTTATGAGTAGTCTCTTTCAGTGGGTACACCACATGTAGTGTTGGTCAAACATCTGGCCTGATTCTGGCAAACATAAGCACATCTAGCTTTTTTTGGTCTGTGTACTCCATCAGGGCACACTCTGCCCAGTCCACTGGAAAACACTTCTCTTTCCTCCTGCATCTTGTGGAAAAATGGACTCAGCACAGGCAGCTGGGGAGACTTTGGGGATTCATATCCTGGTAAAGCATCTCATTCAGATCCCTCAATGCTCCAGGCTATTCCCCACCTCTAACATCTTGAAAGCTCTCGTAATTTCCCCAGCTGTTTGGGCTGGCAGCACTTTGACAACAAATGTGCTTGAGGATAAGTGCACGGCAAGAACCTCAGTTTATAAACCAATAGCTTGGAGCAGATGGACTCAACCAAAAGCTGAACGCTGGGACTGTCCTCCCTTCTCTGCATTCAAAGAACACTCACAAGTAAAACTCTAAACCTATTAGAATTTGCCAGAACAAACCAAAGTAACAGGCAGCTCCATCTCTGAATTGCATTTCCTAAGCCAAAAGTGATATTTTATTATGCTGC